CCGGGTTCACTTGGATTGGGGGGTGGGCTCTGGACACGTGAATGTGGGGGTCATGAAAGACTTACCGGCCGATGTTTTGCTTGGGAATGACTTGGCCCCTTTGGTGTCCGCTTATGCTCCAATGGGACCTGCCGCTATCAACCCAGTGACTACCCGTGCCCAGACCCGTGCCGCTGGAACCAGCCCACCTGCTGCTGAGACCCAGGTAAGGACCGAGTCCCCGACTGGTACCCTAGAACAGACTTTTGTTAACTGGGATTCCCCAGAGGAGTTTGGGAGGGAAACTCAGACAGATTCGACCCTCCAGAAGTATAGGGACAGAGCAGATACTGGTGAGGAAGGATTAGATGGGGAAAGGTATGAGTGGGTGGGGGACAGGTTGTATAGGATCCCCAAGCTTTCCCCGAAGAGTGTTGCCCCGCCGCCGAATCGACAGCTGGTAGTGCCCGCGAAATACCGGCAGGAGATTCTGCGGATAGGGCATGATGTTCCACTAGCTGGACATCTAGGTTCCCGCCGCACAGCCTATAGGATCATGCAGAACTTTTTTTGGCCAAACTTCAATCAGGCTGTGCGGACATACTGCAGTACGTGTGACACATGTCAACGGATAGGAAAGCGGGGGGACCACCCAAGAGCTAGGCTTATGTCTATGCCTATCATTGGGGAGCCCTTTGCCCGCATAGCCGTTGACATTGTGGGTCCACTGGCCAGGGCTAGTCCATCCGGTAAGAAATATATTCTCACCGTGGTGGATTATGCCACTCGCTATCCAGAGGCAGTAGCGCTGTCTAATATAGAGGCAGAGACAGTTGCTGATGCCCTGGTTAGGATTTTTACCAGAGTCGGGTTCCCTCAAGAGATTCTCTCTGACCAGGGAACCCAATTCACCGCTGTGCTCACCCAGCAACTGTGGAAGGTGTGCGGCATTAAACCGCTGCTTAGCTCACCTTATCATCCACAGACTAACGGTCTCTGCGAGCGATTTAATGGCACCCTCAAACAGATGCTGAGGACCTTTTCTGACACTTGCAGAGACTGGGAGCGATTCCTGCCTCATCTGTTGTTTGCCTACAGAGAGGTGCCCCAGGAATCTACTGGGTTCTCCCCCTTCGAGTTGCTATATGGGAGAAGGGTCCGCGGACCCCTCGATCTCATTAGAGGCCACTGGGAGGGGGAGACCGAGCAGGAGGGGACCCCCATAGTACCCTATGTTCTGGAACTCCGGGACCGCATGGAGAAACTGTCCCTAATGGTAAGGGAGAATCTCCAGGTGGCTCAGGGGAGACAGAAGAGGTGGTACGATCGGGGTGCCCGACAGCGAGTCTTCCAGGTTGGGCAGAAAGTGTTAGTACTCAAACCTGTGAAGGCGAACAAGATGCAGGCATCTTGGCAGGGCCCGTATAAGGTGTTAGCACAGATATGTGATACTACCTACCTTATAGCCAGCTGTTCAGATGAAAGGATCCAGCGATCCTTCCATGTGAACATGCTAAAGGAGTATCAAGAGAGACCAGAGAATGTCGCTGCAGTATGTGCCCCTGCTGCAGATGATACAGAAAGTTTACCCTTGCCAGACCTGTTAGAGAGGGACCCCCAGACGGATCTTACTAGCCTAGTACAGCTAGGGGACAGATTGAGCGCTACCGAGAAGGGCCAGGCAAGACAGCTTCTGTGGGAAAAGCAGGCGACCTTCTCCCAAGAACCTGGTTACACTACCCTAGCTGTACACAAGGTAGAAACCCCTGGACAGAACCCTCTGCGACAACCCCCTTACCGTATCCCTGAAGCAGTCCGGGAAGGAATGCGGAAGGAGATACAGGAGATGACCCAGCTGGGGGTCATCGAACACTCCGATAGCCCTTGGGCCTCGCCTGTAGTCCTGGTGCCCAAGAAGGATGGGACCACCCGGTTCTGTGTGGACTACAGGCGTCTCAATGAACGGACCACCACTGACACCTACCCGATGCCCCGGGTAGACGAATTGTTAGATCGCATTGCCAGGGGACGCTATCTGACTACCATAGACCTGTGCAAAGGCTACTGGCAGATTCCCCTGGCCGAGGATGCTATCCCCAAGTCGGCCTTCGTCACCCCATTTGGCCTGTACCAATTTAAGGTCATGCCATTTGGGATGAAGAATGCCCCGGCTACCTTCCAGCGTATGGTGGATAGACTTCTTGATGGATTCCAGGAATTTGCTTGTGCATACCTGGATGACATTGCGATCTACAGTGAGTCCTGGGAAGAACACCTGGTGCATGTAGGGGTGGTGCTGGACAAGATTCGGGCCGCTGGCCTGACATTGAAGCCAGAGAAGTGCCATTTAGGCATGGCGGAAGTGCAGTACCTGGGTCACAGAGTAGGGTGTGGGAGCCAGAGGCCAGAGCCAGCCAAGATAGAGGCAGTTGCTAACTGGCCCACACCTATCATCAAGACCCAGGTGTTAGCCTTCCTAGGGACAGCAGGGTACTATAGACGCTTTGTCCCCGACTACAGCACCATTGCTAAACCCCTGACTGACTTGACCAAGAAAAATCTTCCTAAGCAGGTCCTGTGGTCTCCGGCTTGTGAAGCTGCGTTCCAAGCACTCAAACAAGCTCTTGTGAATGCCCCTGTCCTGGCTGCCCCAGTCCCTAACAAACGTTTTCTCGTCCATACAGATGCTTCCATGTATGGACTGGGGGCTGTGCTGAGCCAGGTCGGGGAAGATGGAGGAGAGCACCCTGTCGCATATCTCAGCAGGAAGCTGTTACCCAGGGAAGTGAGTTATGCGGCAGTGGAGAAGGAATGTTTGGCCCTGGTGTGGGCATTGAAGAAGCTAAGCCCGTATTTATATGGACAGGAATTTTCCCTGGTGACGGACCACAATCCCCTTGTCTGGCTTAACCGGGTCTCTGGAGACAATGGCAGACTGCTGAGGTGAAGTTTAGCACTACAGCCATATAACTTCACCATCACTTATCGACCCGGTAAGCAGAATGGGAACGCAGATGGATTGTCCAGGCAAACCGACATCCTCACCCCATCTTAGTCCGGTCATCCCCACGTTGACCCGCTAAAGGGTCAAGCCGGGTCTGCCGGAGTGTCCCACAAGGGGGGAGCCGTGTGACAGATTCATCTGCATTGTTGGTTCGTCTGTTTCCCTTTGTTCACGGAATTGCCTGTTCGTATAAATTTAGTGGTCTACCCCACTGAATATTGTGTGCCGCCCTTACATATCAACTACATTGATTTGGGTGATCCCCATTTATCCTCAACCGCAGTTTTTTTGCCTTGCTTAACAGCGCGATCGTTCGTCCCACGTCGAATCCGGTAAGTACCTGTGACAGATTCATCTGCATTGTTGGTTCGTCTGTTTCCCTTTGTTCGCGGAATTGCCTGTTCGTATAACCCCGTTCGTGTAATTTGCAAAACTACCGATTGAAACTACCGAATGAACGACCACCCAGGAGAGGAGTGTGCTGCTGGTTAACCTATTGGCCCCAATTAGAACGTTGTGGTTAACCGCAGACACCTCTCCATTCCATTCGTACGGGTGGTCGTCGTTCGCATGTCGACCACGAGGCAGCGGCCATTTTGGGACATACGAACACCGAGCGGTGTTCGGTACAAACTGTATGGAACTAAAAACGGACACTTAAACTACCGAACACCGCTGAAAAGCTGCTGCCTACCTTCCTTTTCGACAAGGCATGCGAACGTCGGTCGTTCGGGAGTTTTGTTCATTCGTATGGACTTTCGCCCCGACAGCCATCCCATGGAGTCATTCGTATACCGAAGGACTGGTGAAAAACTTTGACTCCATGGCGATTCGACTAGATACATCGGATCTGAGCGCTATTCGGTGAAAACATGCCCTCAGATCCAGGCTGTCAGGGGATACGTTGCACGAACCATATGCATTCGGTAATTCTGTCGTTATGTATTTTAATGTAAATTTGTTACTGTATTCCAAGATGGCGATTGTCTCTACCTTGAGAGATAATTAGGTTTCTTCCTAATTATCTCCGAAGTAGAGGAGAAGGAATTATGGGCAAGATGGGAAGGGCTATTATTGAAGCCACTGCGATTGGCTACTGTACAATATGTTTTACAGTCTTCCACAAGGTCCCCTCGGGGAGTGTCCACCTTGTGGAGACCTGCATAAATACCGGGCAGGTAGCCCCCATTAAACAGATCTTCATTTGACCCTCAAGACGGAGCTTGGTCTCGTTTGTGGGGGGAATTATTACTGGGACAGCGCTTTCGTTATTTCTAGCTGTGGAAGGCGTTCGACTGTTTGGCTGATCGGGAGTTGCCGTGTTCGTGGACTTCGTTCGGGAGTTTGGCGGTCGGCTGAATTTAACCTGCATTTCTGGAGAAGGGGATTATTGCCTAAACGGCGGCTTCATCTACCCGACGGTACGTGTCGTAACAGTACCTTATTTACTTGGTTGCTAACAGCAACATTAAAGTGCTGACACCCTTTTTTTATTCAAGTTACTCATTATACTCATTTGTTTTATTAACAGGAAGTACCTGCTGTACTTTTCTTTATCATTAAATAAAGGAGGGCCTTGTGGGTGACCCCACCTTTTTTCTCTGCGACTGTTGTTCATTGAATGTTTGTTGTGGGTGACCCCCACCTTTATTCACTTTGATAACCAATTTCTAACAATGTGTTTCCACACCATTACTACAGTGAGTGATCCTCACCTTTGCAAAATATATATGTTATTTAAAGTGACCCCACACTTTACTATATTTTTTACAGACATACCCATTAAAAAGTCTGACTATTTGTGTGGTGAACCCCACTTCTTATCGGTACAGTGGTACAAACCACTTGTATAATTTAGTGGTCTACCCCACTGAATATTGTGTGCCGCCCTTACATATCAACTACGTTGATTTGGGTGATCCCCATTTATAAATTTTACCAAACACACTTAGGTGAACCCCATTTAATACCCTGTCTTACATTTATTTGTCAGATCATTAGTAAAGTTCCTAAAACCATGTCTGACAATACTGAGCCCGCAATCTTTCAGGAACTTAAAGCTTGGCTGGTCTCAACAATTGCTGAATCCATCCCCAAGGCATTGGCAGTCTTCCATGAAAAAACATCTGGCGAAATCAATCCCATCACACATTTACCCTCTGACTCAGAGGACTCTCAGCCCTCAGATCAGGAAATCACACGTAAGCGCCCTTGGAACGGGAGTAGTGTGTCTGCGGGCAAGGCTCCTGCCAAGTCCCAAAAATGAACTGTCACTCGCCCTGCCCAAACTATCTTTGACCCCCTGGAGGGTTCTACATCTCATAGGGGTGATGAGATTGAAGACTACTACCTTGGCTACTCTGATGAGGACCCTTCAGCGAATACGCTAGGGGATACCCCATCGGAATTTGTCAAAGACACATTTATTACACAAAAGGACACTGATGCAAACGCACCTATGCAGAAGGGACCCGACTCAGACATCCTCCTGGATGCTTCGGGTGTCCCCTTTTTCGACCCCAGGGTCATCAGGCATCCACGGTTGGCCAAATGGGCCCCACCAGACCATATTTCTAGCTTCTGCAAGATGTGGTTATGTAAGCCACTTGAAAAAGAAATCAGGGCAAAACTCAGAGTCCAGTGCCCTCGACCAACCATTCCAAACAAGGTGGCTCTCACGCCAGAGTTTGACCCACTATTTGTGACCTTCCTCACTATGACGGGGAAAGATCCTCGCAAGGGAGCAGGGTCTTAAGACATCCCAGGATAAACTCCTGGACATCGCTGGCCCCATCTTTCAAATTTTCATACTAGCTGACGAAGCCATAACTAGTGGGGAGTTTGACCCAAACACAGTCAGAGAATGGGCCCAGAGAGCCTTATGCTTCCTGGGCAACGCAAATGTGGCTATATCCACTGAGAGACGCAGGGCGGCACCATATAAGCTGGATGCTAAATTAGCTGATCTGAGCTCCCGAGAACTGGGACCAGAGGCCAATGGATTGCTCTTTGGAGACTCGTTTATGAGGGATCTCTCCAAACATTCACTACCCTAAATAAGGCCCAATCCTCCTTGCGCAGGGTTTTTCGTTACCATTCAGGCCATTTTTCTGGGAGAGCTGGATGTTATAGAGGCCGAACGAACAGCAGAATTGCCTTCACAGGCTATAGGCCTCGCCCTTCAGAGAATTATTGGCACTCGGGACAACCCCGACTCGGGCAGTTATTCACCAATAGAGGATCTATCCGGGGATGTGGATCTCCCTCCTTACGCGGACGTACTGCTCCAGGTAATAAACCTTCCTTTTTTCAATGTACCTATAGCAGGTCGACTAACCCATTTTTTCCAACAGTGGGAATTGCTTTCACAGGACCTATGGGTCCTACACACAGTCCAAGGGTTCAAATTAGACTTCCTTTCCACTCCCTTCCAGGACACACCACCTACACCACTACGGATGTCTGCATCAGACAACCTGACACTACAAACAAAATTGCACAAACTAGTAAAAAAAAGGGGCGATAGAAAAATCCCCTTTCCCACATACCTTTCTCAGCAACATTTTCCAGGTCCACAAAAAACTGGAGACCTACGTCCAATTATCAATTTGAAAGACCTGAATCACTATGTCAGGTATCATCATTTCAAGATGGAGGGCATCCATCTGCTCAGGGACCTCTTGTGCATGGGAGATTGGCTCTCCAGATTCTATCTCAAAGACACATATCTCACAGTCCCTGTTGCTCGCAACCATCGAGCTTTTCTTAAATTTCTCTGGCAAGAAGAAATTTGACAGTTCACATGCCTCCGCACCATGGTGTTTCACAAAACTGATGAAACCAGTGATGGCGTTACTCTGATCACAGGGGATTCGGTCCATTATATATTTGGATGACATCCTGATAATGGCTCAAGACTCAGACCTTTTACGCCAACACACGGACATGACGACGGCCTTGCTACAAAACTAGGTTTTGTAATCAATTTTCAGAAATCGGCCCTGAAATCTTCTCAGAAGGTTCAGTTTCTCGGATTTCTGATAGATTGCGTACAGGCGATTTTGCAACTACCCTCCGCAAAAGTCAAAACTATAAAAAAAGACATTCGCAAATTGTTATTAGCCCACCAGATTCGCCTACGCGATCTGGCCCATACCATAGGCCTACTGTCCGCCTCTATCCAAGCAATTTACCCGGGACCTTTACATTACCGAGCCATGCAACGGCTCAAGACATACTACCTACACCGTTCCACCTTCTACAATCAGTACATCTATCTAACAGACGAAGTTCGTATAGAACTTCACTGGTGGCTTCACAACATGGAAGCCTGGAATGGCGAAGCCATTTTCGGATCACAACCAGACTTCATTCTGGAATCCGATGCCAGTCTCCTGGGTTGGTTCGCTACCTGCTCCGAACGGTCCACCGGGGGACTATGGTCCCCCTCCGAACAAGCATTGCACATCAATTGCCTAGAATTGATCGCAGGATCTTTTTTTGCGATTCGCAGTTTCGCAAAAGATTGTTTCAATTGCTCACTAGTACTGCGCATGGACAACGTTTCTGCAGTATGTTATGTGAATCGGATAGGAGGTTTCCTCTACCAATTCTTCCAATTCTGCCTAGAGCGGAATTTATCCATCAGAGCGGAATATCTTCCGGGCACGGACAACCTAGTCGCAGATTGGTTCTCCCGCCACTGGAGGGATGTAAGCAACTGGCAATTGGATCCCCGCCTGTTCTATCAAATTCCCTGTCTTCGCGGGCCCCTCACACTGGACCTGTTCGCGTCTCGGCTAAACCGCCAGACGGAGGCCTTTTTCAGATCCCCAGTCCCGGGCAGTCGATGCCTTTCTGCACCCTTGGCCGGAGACAGGCGCATATGCGTTCCCACCTTTCTCCATGATCCAACTCACCCTTTACCGGCTCAAAGCCCTAGCAGTGACGATAGTCATTGTCACTCCTCTATGGAGAGCCCAGACTTGGTTCCCAACCCTACTAGAACTATCTGTGAATTACCCAATTCTACTACCTCAGCTGCCGACATCCTCAGGAATCCAGCAGGGCTCTGTCACCCACTAGCCCTTCAAGGTCGGCTCCAGCTTGTAGCTTGGACCATTTCAGGGGATCCTGGAATGTCTCGGGACTTTTAGAGACAGCTCAGGCTCTCCTATGGGACTCCTGGGCCCCAGGCACTAGACAAGCTTACCTCGCTGCATGGAGGACATGGGTCAACTGGTGTTTGGAAAGGGATACCGATCCCTTTTCAGCACCTCTGACGATCATTCTAAATTTTCTATCTACCCTCTTTGATCAAGGCAAGTCCTATAGATTAATTAATGTTTTTAGATCAGCTATTTCTGCGGCCCACAACCCTTTTGACAATGCATCAATAGGAAAACACCCTTCAGTTTGTAGACTTTTACGAGGGATCAGGCTAGCCAGACCCCCTCTTCCTAAATATTCCAATTTCTGGGATGTCACTCAGATTTTTTCCCTTTTAGAATCCTGGCCCTCTAATGAGAATTTGACGTTACGTCAACTCTCTGCCAAACTGGCCTTACTCCTATGTCTGGTATCCTTCCGTAGGGTCTCTGAAATTCGAGCATTTGATTTCAACGCTGTAGTTTTCTCGCCTGAAGGCGTTAAATTTCACATCACCAGGCGTACAAAGACTAATTCTTCCTCTGTATTCTACCCTTACTTTCCGAATAGACAGTCACTCTGTGTTGCACTCTGCGTAAGGCACTATATAGATACCACAACCACTCTGCCTCCCCCTACAGGACCCCTTCTTGTTTCCTATGTCAAACCACACAAACCGGTGTCCGCTCCCACCGTCGCGCGGTGGATCAGATGGATACTAGCCCAAGAAGGAGTTGACTCCTCTTTTGGAGTGCATTCAGTCAGAGGAGCAGCCGCATCCTCAGCCTTTCGTGCGGGTAGCTCCCTCTCAGACATTTTGTTGTCTGTGGATTGTTCCAGGGAGTCTACCTTTCATACATTCTATTTCAAACCTATGCCACATGCTACATCTTCTATCATATATGAGCATTAAAACAGCAAATATGAAGCCCCCTGTCTTGCCATAAAATTAGGGATTATTCTAGCCCTAGTGACTGAATAATCTAAATTTTATTAACGACGGGAGGCGAATATTTTCCCTCCCTTCTTTGTTTTCATTATCATTTATACCCGCCCTAAAGTAAGTTACTACAGATTTTTTCTAGTCGATCTGTTTCAAACACATTCATACATCATCTGTCATAGGTTTACACCACAACACTCTAACCAAGAGTTTAATATACTCAACATAATTTTACATGAAATGTATTAAAATTGTTGTTCCTAGTGTGCACGCCATAAACTTGCATTCAATTAGTTTGAGAACCTATACTCTCATGTTTTTTTCTCTACTTCCCTTTAGTGTGAAAAATTACAACACTTGTGATATATGGATTAATCCTTCTGTCAGTCCCTTGGCTTCCTATAAAATATAGAACTCAATTTAAAATTCTGGTTCTTGCTTTCAAATCTCTACATAATGCTGCTCCCACCTATCTATCCTCCCTTATACACAAGTATGTCCCGTCTAGGCCCTTATGATCTGCTGAAGACTTACGTCTATCTTCTGTCCGTACTCCCACCTCTGATGCTCGCCTTTTTGATTTCTCGAGGGCTGCACCGTTCCTGTGGAACTCGCTTCCCTCCTCCGTTAGATGCTCACCCAGTTTCCACTCCTTCAAAAAAATCATTAAAAACCCACTTCTTCATAAAAGCGTATCACTTTAACTGTTAATAGCTCCTGACTGATTCCTCTTCTGCAACTGTCACTAGTCTAATACTATCCTTTCGCTTTTGTGTCATTTTACCCCACTCCCTCTAGCATGTAAGCTCATTGAGCAGGGCCCTCAACCCCTCTGTTCCTGTGTGTCAAACTTGTCTGGTTACAACTACATGTCTGTTCGTCCACACACTGTAAAGCGCTGTGGAATTTGACAGCGCTCTATAAATATCATAATAATAATAATAATCAATCCCGTTGAAAGTTTACACGGTTGACTACATCAGGACCTCGAATTGGTCCACAGTTCATAGTTACGGTTTACATGGTTGATACTCGTATATCGTCGGCTACAGCAAGAAAAAGGATATGGGAGGAGCTTGATGACATCATATAATACTGTTATACACTCTGGTTGAATTATTTTACATTATTGTTAACTATTTCTTTGCTGCTGGGAGGTTCAGTAGAGAAAGATAAAGCAAATATTCGCCTCCTGTCGTTAATAAGATTTAGATTATTCAGTCACTAGGGCTAGAATAATCCCTAATTATCTGAGCTAAATGCATTGGATCCCCCATTTATCCTTGCAGACAAAAGCTATTTGACAAAGTACTGACTTATCGTCATGCTACTTTCCACCATATTTACTAAAGTATTATTTTATTTTAAGTAATCTAAACCCATCAAACTTAATTTCCTTGTATTTAGTGCCCTTTATGAGGTATAGTTGCATCTGTCTATGTTCAATCTTAAAAATTATCTAATTTTTATTTTGTAGTCATTTAGTGCTGAATCAAGTATTCAAAAGGGAGTGAGCTACCAAGAGGAGGACTGGCAGCCTTAGGCCTGGGGGGCAAATCCAGTCAAGTGGCTCACCATCCATGCCCACCTTTTCCTGGTTTTATAACAGATATTGATGTTATGAAGCAAGACATATATGATACAATGTAGTTTAACATAATTTAATTGTAATAGCAAATAGCTGGCAAGTGGCACTATCCGCGTAGCAACAAGACGTGGATTGGTCGATTGCCAGAAGGTTTAGCGTGCAGGAGGAGGGGACTGCAGCATGGATGGAACCCTCTGATTATACAGTTTAGGCGGCCGCCTAAATCACCTAATTAGAGAGCCGCCTCTGGCCAAGAGATCCTTTCTCTTCCTCCGTGGCAGGCAAGCAGGCAGAGACAGCGGCCGTTTTTAACATGATTTAGGCAGGGCCGGTGCAAGGATTTTTGCTGCCCTAGGCAAAAAAATTATTTGCCACCCTCCCATGTAGTGACATCACAATGTCCTACCCACATGATTTGCTCATGTTATGACATCACATATGCCCCATTCCTGAGGGGCTGCTTCTACAGCTGTCTGGGTGACTTGTCCTGGGAAGTGGCGCAGTGTATAATCACATCTCTGGTCATGGATGGGGCTATTCTGCCTGAGGGTGGTAGACGGTATATGCCGTCTATGTTACATTTTTTGACATGCGTTGGCGGCAGAATGGAGGCCAGTAGGCGCCTCGTGTAGTGAGGCAGTTCATTGGGAGGGATGGTGTCTGTACTCCCCTGATCTTAATGTGGTTACGTCTGGTCCTTTCATCAAGGGCTATGTAGTGCAGGGAGAGTGCTTGTTGTTGGGCTTGTAGGGCCAGCACAGAGTCCTGTAGTGTTGTCAGTCCCTGCTTGATGCCTGAAATATCATCCTCCATGGACTGCACCCTGTCAGTGATAGCTTGTACGTCCGCTTTAATGGCCGCTACGCTGGTTGCCAGGAGATTTTTAATTTCCCCAACTAAGTTGTGAAAGTCTCACTGGGTGACTGGGGCAGACCATCCAGATTTCCTTTGGTTTTATGTGCCCGTTCTAGGGGTAAGTCAGGGGATGTGGGGTCTATAGATACCTTGTCGACTTGTTGCTCCACTGCTCCCGCCATTTTGGGCGACGGTTGTCGTTGTTGCAGCATGGCACCTATGTCCCTGGACCCCAAAGGGCGATTTCAGCAGCGGTTTTTGGGACTGACGCCCCATCATTAACCGCGTAGGTATGTGACCTGTAGGGAAGTCTTCCACCTCTGGGTACTCCGGTGGTTCAAATCTGCCCAGCAGCACCAACCAGTCGAGGGCTGCTGTAGGTTTGTAGGCCGCAGATCTGCGTTTCCGCTGGTTCGCCCATGCCGGGTACACAACCTTCTGGGGGGGGGGGAAAGGGGGCTTGGCTGTTCTCATCTGGTGCCCCAGTCAAGATTGGGGATTTGAGGGTTTTAAGCCTCAAATAACAGGCTTTAATGCGGGTTTTGAACGGTCCGCTCGGGCTCGTGGTCAGGCTCCGCCCCAGAAAAATAATTTTTATTGGCTCCATAGAGTAAAAGACTTGGTTAATCACTAAGTTGTCTATCTTCAAATTTCTATACATGTTTTTATCTATCCAGAAAAAATGAAAAGGATCAAAATTGCCACATGTCTTTCTTTCATACATATACCAAGATTTCGTAACAGAATAATTATTACCCCATTCTAAATAATGTGAAAACATAACCGTGTCGTGGATAAGAAAAACATTGGGAAATTATAAACCACCCTCTGATGTTCTGGTTACCATTGTTTCGAACGCAAAGCTAGGTTTTTTACCAACCCAGACAAATAGGACCTGTGGTCTGTGAAATGACCTAAATGTTATTTTGGGGACTCTAAGGGGTATTGTACGAAAGAGATATTCTAACTTGGGAAGTAGATAAGATCTAAGAATATTTATCCTCCCTAACCAAGAGAGCTGTGTTTTGCTCCATTTATTTATCAGACCTCGTGGAGAAGTTCGTCATAGTTATCCTGAAGCCAAGAACTAATGTTAAAGTTCATCTTAATTACGAGATATAGGATAGAATTTTTGGAACACTTAAATCTAGAGTTTTTTGACCAGCATTCCACATGTGAGTGTGTTAGATTACTATGTATAACTTGGGTCTTATGTGCGTTAATGTTATAGTTGGAAAGGTAACTATATTCCTCTATGCAGTTCATTACTGCTGGAAGGGACATATCTAGATTTGTCAAAGTCAAAATTACATCATCGACGAATAACGTTATTTTCTGTTCTTGGTCTGCAAAAAAACCCACCTGAAATGTTACGTGATAATCTGCTATAAGCCGCAAGTGACTCAATGGAAAAAATATATAGGAGGGGCGCTAACGGACAGCCTTCTCGGGTTTCCGTTTCCGAAGGTAAACCAGGAAGACAATAAAATCAGAAATAAATTGGTGAGAGCACACTAAAAAACATGCATGTTACCACTTATGTACACTTAAATGTATCCTGCAGATACAACAAAACAGGAAAAAACAACATAGGGTAATAACGTTTAAAATGTGTGAAACCTATAATAAAATTATTCACACTCACATGGTCATGAGCCACTTAGAATGAGCTGACTCAGACTAAGGGTATTGGATAAATAAAAGTGGTCTCAAGATACCAGACTGTCCTATGGTGTTTTTTTCACAGCTACTCCAGGATGTAGGATAACAGCAAAAATAAATTTGTTGGACAAACTATTTAAAAGAGACAGCTTTAAATGAAATAAAAGAGTCCACTGTACAATTGTTTAAGGTACTTGACGCGTTTCGGCATTAGCCTTTTTCAAAAGTCCCATGCATGTTTTTTAGTGTGCTCTCACCAATTTATTTCTTGTATTTTATTGTGTTGCACTTATATGTGGTAAAGTGATCCACATAGGTGATTGTAGCACCTTTCTATATTTTTAACTTAAACCTTACACCTTTGATTTTTACTGTAAACCAGGAAGAGTTTAGGCTGTTACCATACACTTCGCTAAAGGAGCTGAATAGAGAGATAGGTTTAGGTCTTTAAATTACCCCTCTATACCAAAGGCGGAAAGGGTTGTAGATAGAAATTTCCATTCTACTCTGTCGAACGCCTTTGCGGCGTCGACAGCAATAAAGGCTGAAGGTATACGTTTTTTATTGACTTCTATCATTAGATGCAAGATCTTCCCAACATTATCACAAGCTAATCGCAATTTTATAAATCCTGTTTGGTCTATGTGAATTAAGTCAGGGATTACCACGCTAAATCTATCTGCCAGAATTTTAAAAAATGTTTTATATCTTAGTTTATTAATGAAATCGGACGATAATTACTAATCCTTTCCTGTTTTTTTTTGTTGCTCTTAGCAAATCTGATGAAAAACCAATTATTATAATTTCCCTTTTCTGCAAATAAATTACACAGAAGGGGGGTTACCATTGGTTCAAAAGATTTATAAAATTGTGCTGTGTATCCGTCAGGACCTGAGGCCATGTTATTTTTAAGATTTATGATTGCTGTTTTTATTTCCTCTGCTGTGATAAGTTTATTCAAATTGCCCAATCTAACCGATTTAATTTTAGGCAAGGAAAGTTTAAAAAAAAACAGATCAAGTTCATTCTAAATTACTCGATTATCCTGTAAATTGTTAAAGAGATGAGTAATAGTTCGCAAAAACTTCTCCAATGCTCTGAGGGTAAAGATTGACTTTTTTGCCTTTTATAATTTATTTATCCCATTTTTTTTAAGTCTGGTTTAAGTTTTTTAGAAAGAGGTTTTCCAGCTTTTTTTATTGCATTTATATCATCTTTGGTTTAGATATGTAATTGATCTTTTAACTTTTTCTTCTAGTAGAGATTTAATCTGCATCTGGACTGCTTTAATCTGTGTATAGATTAACTGTGCTGGATTTTTTTTTATTGCATCATTGCATTCTAGTTTTGCAAGTTTAATATAAAGATCTACCCAACTAGCTCCTCTTACTTTTCTGATTTTTGCTTATATTTTGATTAGGTACCCTCTCATTACGCATTTAAATGTTGCCTAAAAGGTGTCCTTAGAGACCTGACCATTGTCATTCACTTCCAGGAAATTCTTTGCTAGATTTGCTAAATAGATTCTATTTTTCTCTGATAGAAGGATGGTATTATCTAATTTCCATTGTGGTCTAAACTTAAATTTGGGATTACTGTCAATTAGTACGTTAATAGCTGCGTGATCAGACCACACAATGGGGCCGATATTCGAACTTGTGAATTTATTTAAATTTAAAGAGTCTGTTAAAAAGATATAAATTCATGAATAACTATGATGGACCTGAGAAAAAAAGGTGAAGTCTCTTTCTATCGGATGATGAACTCTCAAAATGTCAAATAAATTGTAGTTATTGAAAGTCTCAAGAAGCCAATTAGATCGTGCTTTGCAGAGATTCGACATATGATTCGAGATTTTAGAATTTTTATCTAGTTTAACATCCAAAATTGTGTTCCAATCCCCACAAGTAAGTAAAACCCCTTTGAAAAAAGTTTGGGAAAATTTATTAGGGGCACATAAATTTACAAGCAGATGTAGTGAATTGTTCAACTTGCAAACAAGAATAAAAAATCTACCTTGTGGGTCCTTTTCGATATGAATCTGTTCAAATTTAATTTTAGCTGAGCAGATAATTGCAACTCCTCTCTTCCCATAGCCAGCAAAATTTGCACTAAAAAATAGGGGAATTTAGTGAATTTCCATAATCTTTCCTCTCTTGCACAAAACAAAGGTCGTTTTTTTTCCCCTCTATTAATCATTTATACAGAAAGCCATGTTTTGTTGGAGAATTTAAGCTCTGAACTAGGCATGTGCATGGGGAAAATGTTCGGTTCAGTTCGGCATTCCGAAATTCGGGATTTTCTCAATTCGGGACTTTGGCAATTTGGCACTTCAAGACTACGGAACTTCGGCAACTTCGGAGCTTCGGAACTTCGACACTTCGGAAATTCGGCAACTTCGGCACTTCGAAACTTCGGCAACTTCAGCACTTCGACACTTCGGAACTTTGGAATTTCGGAACTTCGACATTTCGGCATTTCGGAATTTCGGGACTTCGGCAACTCGGGACTTCTATTGCTGCCGCTTAGTAGATAACTCCCTAATTCTCACGTTATTAGGGAGCTATCTACTAAAAGACTGAAAGACATAAATTGGTCTTTCAGCCAAATTTACTAATACTAAGTAAAGATTACTTAGTATTAGTAAATTATGCCCCTACTCGCTATACCGCGAGTAAGGGCATGTCTATTAAACAGTGAGCAGCCTGTGGCTGCTCACTGTTAAAAAAAAAATAGGGTCCCCCCTCCCAGCCCCCACCCGCGACGGTTAATTGGTTACTTAATCCACCAATCAGAGTGTTATGAGTCAAATTACACAGCGTGGGAAAATTCCAAAGAACTTTCCCACACTGTGTAAGATGACACAGAGCACTCTGATTAGTGGATTTCAAACCAACCAATCAGAGTGCTGTGACAGGTAAATGTAGAGACTTACCTGTCAGAGCACTCTGATTGGATGGCTTAAACCCACCATAGTGCTCTGAGCCTAATTGCAGGGCAAGGCTTTATTTTTTATTTTTATTTTTTAGATTAGTGAACTCCTTTATTAACAAATGTACATTTATTTGTCTTCGGGCTTGTTGAAGCAGTAAGTCAGACAGCACTTGCCGCAGTAATGCCTATCAAAGTGACTTGCCATGAAGACACCAGCTCCACACTCATCTGAAGGGCATTCACGTCGCAGGCGGTGGATTTTACCGTTCTCATCAACCTTGTAGTACTCGAGCACGGCAAGTGTGACCTTCTTTCTCTTATGCTTGTTCTTTTTGGGGGTGGTGTAAGACTTCTTCTTCCTCTTATTGGCACCACCTCGGAGACTCAGCACAAGGTGAAAAGTGGATTCCTTCTGGATGTTGTAGTCAGAAAGAGTGCGGCCATCCTCCAGCTGTTTGACAGCAAAGATCAATTTCTGCTGATCAGGGGGAATACCTTCCTTATCCTGAATTTTAGCTTTGACATTTTCAATAGTATCAGATGCTTCAACCTCGAGGGTGATGGTCTTCACGGTGAGGGTTTTCACGAAGATCTGCATGTCGGAGCCGGATCAACATTCTGATCAGCTACGTTGGAGTTAAGAGATGTCATCTCTTTGATGACTTCAGCTAAATTTTGTTTTAGATACTTTATGATCTTTTCATAAAGATCATCCATCATCTTTGTGAGACTTAAATTTGTTATAGTTTCTGATGGGGTATTTATTAAAACTTCAGGGTGTGGTTTTCTCTCCGTAGAAGGAGGAGATAAAGATCTTCTAAAAATTTGCGGATTTATTAGTATCTAATATAGGGGAATAGAATACATCTATTTGTTTA